TGATCAGTCCCTTATATATCATTTTCCATTCCTCCTTCCTCTACAGATTCCTTCATCTGTTTTACATTGTCCCACAGCCCCTCTCAAATCTTGTTTCTACTTTTCCTTTCTTACGAAGTCCAGGTAGCTTACTCCAAAGCTGTGCCTGCTGTTTCTTGGTAGCCCATCAGTAACTTGTCATCATCTGTGCTGTGCATAGAATCATAGAACCTTTTGTGTTGGAATGGACTTTAAACGTCATCTGATCCAACTCCCCTGCAGTGAACAGGGACACCTACAGCCAGATTGAGTTGCTCAGAGCCCCATCCAGCCTGACCTTGAGTGTCTCTAGGAATGGGGCATCCACCACATCTCTGGGCAACCTATTCCTTTGCCTCACTACCCTTATTGTAAAAAACTTTTTCCTTATATTCAGTTTAAGAAGCATTTCTTGAGAAAACAAAAGGTGTCTTGTGATGTCGCTGGGTTTTAATGCTGGAAATAATGTGGAGTCGGGCTAGATAACCTTTAAAGGTCCATCCTAAATCAAACAATTCTATGATTCTTTGATTCTATGAAATAAAGGTGTGCTTTTGTACTTAACATGAAGTAAAGAGTGCTTGAGTCTCCTGCCAGGATTGCATGACAGTGTTTGGTAGCTGTACAGTGTAATATCCCAGTGAAGCCTGTGCTTGATAGCTTTAGTTCTGACCTGTACAAATGTCATGAAAACTGGGTGCTCAGTTTGCCTTTATGATTGTTAGCTGAGAATGAGTGATGATGGATTCAAATCAGGGGAAAAGCACAGAAAAAAGTCTGGGTATTAAAGTGTAATTTAAAGTGAATAGCTGAAGCTTGGAAATACCTTGTGAGGAACAGGGAGAGAGGAGAGTCTGATAGGCTGGAAGATGCTGGAAAGAGGAAGGGATTTATTAAAATCAAAGAGTCATAGAATGGCTTGGGTTGGAAGGGACCTGAGGTATCATGAAGCTCCAACCCCCCTGCTGCAGGTATTATTACAACTTGAGAGACGAGAGAGTTACTAAACTGAGAATAAAGTTTGTATTACATATACTGAAGGTGGAAAGAAATCTGTTATATACATTATACTCCACCTATTTATTTGGATTACTAATAGTCTATAATACAATACATACCTAATTGCCACAAAAGAAACCAGCAAAAAGCCCAAGGCCAAAAAACTTCCTAGTCTCAGGATGTAATACAAGTTTACTTGCAGAACATTGTCAGGGATTTGAAGCAGAGTTTGTTTTATCTTTAAGTTCAGATTGAAACAAGTGGTTATGTAAATTCTAAACTACTGTATATTTTAGGAAGGTTGAACAGGTGAACTTTTATTTTTGTATTTAACTATGGAGTTGATAGAATCATTAAGGTTGGAAAAGAACTCTGAGGTCATCCAGTCCAACCATCCGCTTACCACCAATATTGCTCATTAAACCATGTCACTCAGTACAACATCTGCATGTTTCTTGAACATCTCCAGGGACAGTGGCTCAACCATCTCCCTGTGCAGGCCATTCCAGTGTCTGATATCCAACCTTAACCTCCTCTGGCTCAGCTTGAGGGCATTCCCTCTTGTCCTAGTTCCTTTTAACTGCTGGAGAGCTTTAAAGGGGATTACAGAAGTTTTTAAGTGCTGTCAGTATTAAATAGCTGCTGAAAAGTTTTGGATACATTAGAATGATTTATGATATATAAACACAGATGGATAATCTCTCTTCTGTTTACTTTTTTTGTGTTTCTCATGAAAACAATTATTTAAAAGCAAAACATAACCCAGCCCCCACCTTGTCCTTAGTGCTATAGGGAATTTTGTGACTTCTTACAACGAACTCTTCCTTAGTTTTTGACTCATGGTGATCAAAAGTATATATATTCCATAAATCTTCTTTCAGTAATGTTTCTAATATAAATGGTTCCTCCTGCAGGTTTAAAGAGAAGCAGAACAGATGCTTTTAAACTTTGAGAAGGGAGTTGGGAATGAGGAAGCTTGTTTCCCAGCCTGCTTTTGTCTCCAGCGATCCATTGGTTAATCTCCCTTTGCTGTGCACATGCTCAGTGTAAAGAACTATTTTTGTCTAATTAAGAAGTACCCTGAGATCTTTGGAATAATTGAAAAAAATATTGAAATGCTTTCAGTTACATTATAGCTTAATTTGCCACTTCTCAATTTAAGAAAAATGTAACTGGTAACATTTATTTCAATATACACAGAGTTTATATGGGCAAACTGAAGGTAATGAATTAACACAAAGCAAGCTTATTAGGTGGAATGTTTCAGATTGGTTTTGGCTGAAACTACTCTTGTTTGTTTACCTGCATACTTGATTAATATTTCTTTCATTATCTGCATATTTAATTGATGCCTAATTAATTGCTCTGTTGATTTCCCACATAATTAATTATCCACTACTTAATCGTTGATTCCCTGCATAGTTAATTGACTTTTTGCTTATTTGATTTTTACACTTAATTGACTGTAATTCATTACTCTATTGCTATACCACCTAATTAGCAAACGGTTAATTGGTTATCATTTACTTATTTTAATCTAATTGTTTAGGCCTGTGATCAGTACAGCTTATCCTCTGCTTTCTGACCTCCTTTTCTTCCTCTATTTTGTTTCAATCTCACTTCTAAGCAGAGCACTGATAACAGCTGTTGAGGGGAGAGACAAAGAACAGTGAGCCTGGACTTCCAGAGAACACAGCTGGCAGTCAGGAAGCAGGAACAGTGGCAAATAAAGCCTCAAAACAGAAGTGTCCACTGCATTGTGGAGTTTCAGAGTTCAGGTGTGATTAAGCTGTTTGTTAGATAATCAGAGGTTTTGTACTGGGAATATTAAACATGCATTTAGGAAAGTCGTGGATCACTGGGTTAATAACAGGGTTTTTAATAGAAGAATAATGCTAAAGAACAGAGCAGAACTGATTCAAAGGAACGTTTCCATTATAACCTTAGCACAATCAAAATAAGAAAGCGTGTGTGCTCAAGACAGCAGAATGGCTGAGAAAGAGCCTTGCTCATAAGACCATAGTGAGTATAATATACATTTTACATTGCTGCTCATGTGTGTAGGATACAGCATATTTGTACAACAGGAATAGTTTGTGGGCTGTTTTTCAGAGCTATGTTAAGAAATGGAGGTGTGTTACGCCTTTTAGCTTTGAGGTATTTGTACTGTCTCTAAGGATTATGTTGTTTTTGTTACAGCAGTGTAAATGAGTGCCACCTTTGGTATTCTTGACACTCAAAAGCTTTTTCTTGAGTGGTGTGAACCACACATTGTGTCATAAAGGGAGGATAATAAGGTTGAATAGGGCTGATGATCTTTGTTTGGGATTGTTATTAGTTCTAAAATACAGCTTTCCTGTTCTCTTCCCTCCCCGATTCATCCCAAAGTTCACAGAAAATCACTGTATTTTCGTATTTATTGGCTAATGTGAGTTTTAGTTTGTATCTCAGATAGCATTTGCTGTTCCAGCTTGCTTTCAGTGAAGGCGTGTCCTTGTTTTCCTTAGGGGGACAGAGGGAGAGGAGAAACTGAAAGTGATGTATGGATCGGGGCTTACTGTACATAGCTGAGGAACCAGCATGCCTGAGTTGGCTCCTGGTTGTTGGGGGTTTCTTTAGAAACAGAAGGAAGCAGTGACTTCAAAAGTCAAGGCATCACAGTGAATTTCATTTTAAAGCATTGACCAATATACATTTCAATGACATTCTTCATTTACTGCTATTTCATAAGTTTTCACTGTTTTGTCTGGTATTATTTTGGAGAACTAAAAGGAATTTTTCATCGAACTTGTATGTCAAAGTATATGGAATCTTGATATTTCTCTTGGTGTCACATGTAATTAATGCTGACCCAGGTTGCAATGTGATATTTTGCTTTGAGTGTAAAACTTCTTTTTCCCTTTTCCTTCCTTAAATTTTCCACCTTTTCCTCCCTGTTTTTCTCCATGTAGGTTGATGACTCAAGATGAGGTCTGATATTTTTCCAAATTTGAAAGAAAACATGTTTGTGTAGCTTTAAAGTGAATGGGAAGAAGGAGAAAGGAAGACACTACGCTTGCATAGCTGTGATAGGATGCAAGACTTTGTGGTGTAGAGCATTGCAGATGTTCTCACCTTCCTCCCCACTCTTTTGTTAGTGGCAGAGCCACAACTGAGGATAATTGGTTATGAGCTCAGTGAATAAAGGAAAAAATGGTGTAACAAAACATACATTTGATATCAAATGCCTTTATTTTCTAACAAACATTTCTAGCTATTTGTGTTTCCAGTACTTAAATAGGTGATTAGAGAATTAGATTTGTGCCTATGTGAGGTAAGTTCTAAGGTTGAATACACTTGAAAAGTAAAGGAAAGAGTAGTGAGGTCCATGACCTTTGATTAGACATGGAGCTGAGCTTCTCTGTATTGCAGAGCTACTTTGTGAAAGATAGAATGTTTTAGGTTTGTACCAATGCAATATACACCAAATCTGGGCAATGACTTCATGTCTAAAACAATTTTCTGTTTATCAAATGTTTGAAAAACTGTGAAATTGTGGCATTGTGTAAGGCTGGAAGTGGGGAAAAAAATGACTTCATCTATCCTGTTTCCATTCAGAGTAGCAGAATGGCTTGGGTTGGAAGGGACCTCAGAGATCACTTAGCACCATCCACCTTGCTGCAGGCAGGGTTGCCATCTATCAGATGAGGTTGCTTGGGGGCCCATCCATCCTGGCCTTGAACACCTTGAGGGATGAAGCACTTCTTAGATCTTAGTCAGGAGAAGTTTTCTGGCTTGTGAGAGTCTGGGTAGAAGTCGTACCATTTCTTAAATTTATTTTGTGATTCATTACGAATGCCTTCATTTGATGCTGTAACATTTGATGGTGTAACAAATTTATTAGCTGTATTAAAAGAATCAAAACCTCCGTAACTACTGGTAATAAGAATAAATGACCAAATTTGGAAATATTAACTTTTTTTTTTTTTAAATTTATTTTTCAGGGATCAATTCCATCTTCATGTGTAAGCTTTGTAACTTATTTTCACCAAATCAGTCAGAACTATTGTCTCACGTCTCTGCAAAGCACTCAGAAGAAGGGACTAATGTGGACGACATCATTATTCCACTCCAGCCTCTAACAGCACCAACGGACATAAACAGAAATGGAGAAGGTACTTTGATAAATTGAGTAAAATGTAATTTTCGAACAGTCATTTAGGCTTTTTTAATGAAACCTGTGGTCTCGTGGTGCTTCATTGTGTGTACAATTTACATAGCTTGTTTATACAGTTTTCACCACATGCTGCCAACATGAATTTCATTTAGTGCAGATTAGATCAGAGGATGGACATGGATAAACGCAGCATGTGACAGGGGATGATTACAGTGCTCCATTAATTTTAAATGTCAAGTACAGCAAAGTCTGCTTCCTAGAGCTTTGATTTGAGGCTCTAAAAGCAGCGGAAGGAGTGTAAGTGCCAGACAGTTCAGTTTTCTTAGGCAAGCAGCCAGAGCACCGTGGGCTGGGAAAGGGAAGGGGGTGAAATGCTTTGAGTTACAAAACTTACTGCTTTTGGAATTTCAGATAATATTAATAGTTTGTTCTGAGGAGGCAGCGGCATGATTCATAATTTGTTACTGTGCTTTGATATTAGTTCTAGTAAACTAAAAAAAAAATTCTTGTAGGCAAAGTTTGATGTTGCTCTACAATTAAAGAAATAACATTCATGACTATTTTTAAGCGATTATAATTTCAATCCCTTGTAGTATTAGCAATGGGTACAAAATGATTCAGACTTTATATGTTTTACACCCTGATTTGAATAATGGATTCATGTTGTTGGCAAAGCTCTTGTTTTAATATAACTACCAAGATTTCTAAAGTCTTTAATAATTACGATTGCTGATTACAAGGAAAAAAAATAACCCACTCTAATTATCACACTTGAACGAATATTTTTATCATTAACATTTGAATGTGGCATTTCTTCCTTTGCTTACCAGCAGTAATTCAGTAGGTACTTTGACTTCATGAATGTAAGAAGTTATTTCTAATAACTGGTCACATAGTGTTCAGCTGTTACCTCCTCAGATGGCTGGTGAGGGAAAGTTTGCATCAGATTATCATATCACACTATGCCTAAAATAAACACTGCTTCATAGGAAGGTGAATAAATATCAGATCTGCGTCAAATTTCAAAATCTCTTCTAATTTTATTTTAATTATACAGAATGAGTATCTCAGCTATGCAGAATCCATCTTCCTTTCTGCATTTTTTAGTGTCCCGTTACCCCTTCACTAAGCTGTATCTCTGAGCATGGTGATAATGGTACCTTGCAATACATTCTTATTCCTGTGAGTAAAAAGGCTCTTCTGTAAACAACTTGTTGTATTTGTGGCAGGAACTGTCAGCACTTTTGTTGTTGTATGTTGTAAGATGAGCATCACACATTCATTGAAATAGTATGTAATTACCATAAAGATCTGAATGAGCAGAAATCAGACCTAAGCAGCTTTTGAGAGCATAGCTTTGTAAATCTACTTATGTAAAATAAAACATTTGTGTTTAAAGTTACCATTTTCATTGTTCTTGGTCAATACTTTGCATCATCTGATGTGATTGTGTGGTTCTGCCTTATTCGGATTATTTGGTCTAATTCTTTGGCATTCTGCTTTTAGTAAGAATGTCACAGTGAATTACTCACATCAAAAAGATACTAAGATATTACTATAATATAAACAAATAATAAATCTTTCTCATTACACAAATTAATTGGAGATGAGAGTAGTGTATTCTGAAGTTCTGTTCTTCAGCGTTCTGTTTAAATAATTAGGGAACTTCATAGCAGAATGTAGGAGTTTGGAAATTTCCCCTTCTGTTATGAAATCTGTAGCATATAAGGTTTTAGTATACCTTTTTTTTTCTCTGTGGACCCTTCTGTAATTTTTAGTGATTCAGTATTCTCACTGAAGGGAGAAGTGACTTACGAATGACAGTATGGAACAGTTTCCTTTCAGTTGCCTGATAGATGAACATATTTTTGTCCTTTGAAAACAGTTTTTCTTCCAAGTATAGGTAAAAAATGTGTTTACTTTGGAATCGGTATAGATGAGTGAATGTTGAGTTGTTAATGGAGCTGTGTTCTGCCTGAATACTAAATCAATGATTTTCTAAGTACTGTGAAAAAGTAAAATGCTGGTATTACATGTTTATTACTCTGAAGTTATTTTATTGGTAATACACTCTGCTGAATTTTAGTTAGTCACACCACTTTCCCATAATTAGATCATGATATATTTACACTTGATTTGTCCTAACTGCTTTGATCAGGTGATGCTAGTGCTGTGGAGTCAGGGGACCAGGCAAATGTTGCTGCGGTGAAGATTATGGATAGATGACAATTTGTTCTGCTCTGGAGTGTAGCAACTTTGTTTGGGAAATGACAGATATTTACTGCTTTACAGTTATCACTCGTACTCTACTTTTCTGTAGGATTTCTATTCATAACTTTCCGTAATGATCTCAGTTTTCTTTCAAAGTGCCTGTCAAAGCTATTTGCCTTTTTACTTTTTTACTTAATTAGGTTGGTAGTGTTTGAGGAGCAGCATGGATGATCCTAAGTTCATCTATTTGTAATATTATTCCCTGATAGATTGTTGTTATAGGCTGTATCTGCATTATGGGATACGTGTTTTCTGCAGCACTGTTTTCAGGCCTTATCTATTGATTATGAGAACTGGAAGAAGTTATTATATAAATACGAAAATTTTCCACAAGAGGTATAACTCCTTAAGGTCACATAAAAAAGAGCAGCCTTATCCTGACTAGAGGACCAGCTACAGCTGGAGCATCTGTTGAGGCTGCAGGGCAGAGAGCTGTTCCTGGGTACCAGGATGTGTGGTCACTGTTACATTTGCAAGGAGTTGTGGATTTTCATCCATATTTGCTTGTTTTTGTGTGACCCCTCGTGCAGCAGATTGTGAATACAGCATGTACTGTTGTAATCATTTATGTAAAAGAAGATGAGCTTGTTTTTTATGTAGCTGACAGATGAAAATGGTTTACTGTTACATAATGCACCCAGCCATTGCCATTTGGCCAGGTTGTTCATGCAAACACTTCTACAATCATTTTGCAACTTCTGACAAATTTTGGCTTGAGTCATGCTGTAGCTATCAGCTCAGTGACTGTGCTAAGCTACACATATGGGTTTGGAGGAAAAGGACTGTTTGATAGGGATTTATTGTATCTTCCATTTTTCCAGAGTCAGGGATATTTGCCCTATTATGGCATTAAGCTGGTTTTCTTAATGTTGTTTCGTACATCTGTGACTCTAATTACTCATGCACTTAAGACTGAGGGAGTAGAAAACCAATGAAAAAATATGATTACAGTGTATAGTTTCATCCATTTGATGCATTTCCCTATGTGTAATAAAGTGACTTTGGAAAATTCTGGTCTCTAAGGTTGTTGTCCCCTACTGAACCAGTTTTGGTTGAGTTTGATTTTGAGGCAATCAGTGCAACCACTGTACAGCCACATCATTAAGCCCAACAAAATCCACACTGCTGGAGTGCTATGATCTACTTCAGTGTATGAAGAGTTAAGAATAGTGTGTATGTATTTGTTGTTGCTTACTTTAACTTCAAGGAAATGATTAAACAGAATTCTGCTGTATCAAAACAGAAGGCCTCATAAATGGAAATATTCTGAATATTTCTGAGATAGCTGATTATTAAACAGACTGATTTTGAGAAGCTTATGTGAATAATTACTGTGAAAGAATAGTATAGAAGTAGAGTTGTATAGTTTATCTCCATGTCCTGTTTCTGAAATGCCTTTTTTAGAGCCATTGAGTACATAATTATATAGCATAGCACAGAATGTTTTCTCAGAATATTGCCATTGCACATCCAATACTAGTTAACATAAAGATTGATTTCAGAGAATCTGTGGTGGGTGTAAAAATACCTAGAAACAGCAAAGGCAGTTGTGGAATAAGATCCCACTTATAAAAATCTTTCTGATGATCGATTTAAAACTTGAGCTTCCCACCAAGCATTCTTGAAATAAGTGCTTTAATACATCCTTTTAGCAAGGTGTGACCATTCTCATTGGCTTGCTTATTTGCTAACAGGTCAATGACAATGTAGTGCTCAACTGTTATGCCTAGGTCATCTTAGGTGGTGCTTTGAACTGTGGTTAGTACAATGCAGTGTGAATGGATAGCTGGTGGCAAACTGGATGGGGGAGCAGCTGGAATTTATGGTCATGTGCATCATTAAAAATTGAATTCAGGTATTGTTAATTTAAAGTGGCTTGAGGATCGATCGGGAAGGAGGAAAGAACAGGAGCAAGTTTTGGTGATTCTATCAGTTGTCCACGAGTCATCCTGTTCCAGTGTATGCTGCTACCTATACAGCAGGCCTTTTAAAATGTCTGATAACTGTTGACTATTCTTCTACTGGTAATTGGTAAGCTCATTTATCATTTACAAACAGGTGTAAATTTACATATTCTTTACGTTGGTTGCCGCACCATTAGAAACTACAATTTCATAGTCTACAGAAAGGGATCCACCACCAACCTTCTAAAGGAGCACTTCTCAAAGTTCTGTTTGTAAACAGGATTTTGTTTCCATTTCTGTTGTAACATGAAAACACTGTTCTCTTTTTCATTTACTTTAGATCAGTCAGCAAGGGCTGAATCTCTTTTAGCAATTTTCATTTTTATTTGAGTAATGTGAAAAAAAAAAAAGAAAGAAAAGAACATTATACCCAGAGGTTATATTCACTCCTCAAGCCCTGGGATTTAATTACTTATAGTAACTTAAGCGATATCTGCATTCCTCATACTGTGCCTCACACATGGGCAATTTGACCTTTTTGCAGGTTGACGTTGAAATGCTGTTGGTTTTTTTAATTGCAAGTTAATTTCTTTAGCTCAAGGCATCAAATACTGTTTTTTTTTACAGTGGTAACAAGTTTTGAGGGTACTGAAATCACCTTTCTCTTTTTGGTGGTAATTGACACCTTCTGGAGTGCAGTAGCACAGAAATTCAGAGTGCTGCTCGTGAATAGTTGCAAAAGGTGATGTGTGAAAAGTGATGGTTTTTTTTTTTCATTTGTAATGGAGCTTTTAGTTTTCTTATGACATATTTAAGTAGATGGGTACTCAAACACCAGTGTAATAAGACGGAATGCTTTCTTGTTCACGTGATATCAGTTACATGATTATCTCAAAACTGGTCTCTCTGTGTGGGTTTTTGTTTGTCTGAAATACTTAAGGGAAGTGTTGAACAGATTTAGAAATGATGCTCCTACCACCTCCTGTTCTCTTGCATCATCTTTCCTTTAGATTCCTTGAGGTCATTTATTTTTCCATATGTTTTGAGTCAAGCAATTTAGCAGGGGCTTTTGGCATATCTGCTTGAAAATCATATGTATTTAAATTATTTATTCCTTTATGATTTTGGGGACTTTTATATTGTCAGTCTCAGTTTACCAGATAGAAAATAGGCTCCTGGCTTATAAATATTTGATAAAAAGCTTTAAATGATTCTTAATCTTTGGTTTTGGTGAAAATTCCTGGAATAAAAACACTGTAAGCTTTTCACGTGGAGGAAAATTTATGAGTTACACTGCCAGTCTGCTTTAGCTTGAATAATCTCAAGACCTTTTCACACGTTTGGAATTGCAATGACCACTTAATTACTGGGCATTTCTCTCTCTGTGAAGCCAGAAGACGTAATTCATACTTTTCCCATCTGTGCCAAGCAGAGAGAGAGAACAGCCATACCTTTTTGATTTTTATTTTTTGCACGAGTCTCATATTTTGGGAATGAATGGTAAGAATGCTTTCAGGGACCTCTTTGCTGTTGTCATCATAAGCTGACATGTACAAGAGATTTCCTTTTTTTCCCTTTTCTTTCTAAAGCACTGAATACAGGGTTACTGGCAAAACTTGCTAGTCCTTTGTTTTTCTCTATGATATTACAAAGATGATGGCTGACAGGGACTTCATACATGTTCTATTTCACTTAGCACTTTAGCACACTTAGCTATTTTTTGTGCACATTATACTGTAGGTTTTTTGTTCTTTGCTTGTTGGTCGTTGTGTTTTGTTTTTGCAATTACAGTGGCTAAATCAAAGTCTTTGCTTTTTAATTTTCAAAGCTGAACGTCAGTGTATATTACTGAAGGCTCTTAAATGGCAGCCCCAGTCGCCCTGGGATCCAGAGAGTATTCAGGCCTGATATGATCTGAAGTGCATTCTGGAGAGTGCTTTCTATGTTCGTTCAATATAAAAGACCATAGGTGTCTAATATTTGATAAAATTAATGCTAAAAGGCTGGAAGAAGCTTGACTCCCTCCTGTTCCTCCATATACCATCAGAGAAACTCTTCTACATGCACAGTAGTTTTTCTTTCTCAGAACTATGCAGAAATAGATCTGATATTTTACCAGATGCATGCTCAGAAGCAAATACATGCTTGAGAAGCTAGCATGCTTTGCTCTTGATGAACTGAGCTTCTTGCAGAAGAGCAGATACAAAGTAATTAAAATACATACAGTAATAATCAGGTAATTCCTCAAATCGTACAGCATAAAGAACAAAAAGTGCTGGAGATTAACAAGAAAGATAAAGAACAACTCTTTTAATTGTATAAACAATTACACCAGAGTAACTGATAGCTTGGATGAAATTTCTGAAAAGCATTTGGACGCTATCTGGAAAATTCCTCTTCTCTTAGTATTGGCTTTCATTAATTAGAAGTTTTATGCTGGTCTAACTGGTTCTGTCACTCTTTATGTCTGTGAGAGTCTGATAGCAGAGTTGCTTTTGAAGTAACTATGAAGGAGTGATCAGAGCAGTCCGAAGCGAGAGATAGGAGCATGAAGCTAGAAAGTGTTAATAATAAAGAATCACAGGAATTTCAGAATCATAGAATCACGGAGTGGTTGGAGTTGCAAAGGATCTCAAAGACCATTTGGTTCCATCTCCTATGTCATGGGCCAGGACATCTTCCACTAGGTCAGGGTGCTCAAGCCCCATCCAACCTGGCCTTGAGTGAGAATGCCATTGGCTCATATTATTAAAAGAAAAATGAAGTTATGGTTTTAAAAGATAAAGTGCTTTTCTCTGAATGCATCTCAACTGCTTAAACAATTTATTTGAGAGTGATTTAAATTAAAATGAGATATTTTTTATGGAGTGTCAGAGCACTATAAAGCAATTCCGTAGAATATGCATGCTGGCTGATACAATTATTCAATAATCTAAAAGAATGCTTGCAGTGTGATTTCTGTAAAATTGTAGTACTCTGATATCTGTCAATCTCAGTAACATATTATTGCTTTGTGACTAGGAGAAATGCCAACAAATGTCATTGCTTAAAAGTAAATCTTTGTGAAAATAATCTTTTTTTTTTTTTTTTTTTTTAAGCTTTAGGGGTAGAGACTCTGAACCTTCATTTAATATTGCTCTTTTTCAAAGATCTGGTGAATATTAGCCAGTTACTGGAGTAACCCTATGAGACTGCATTATAGCTTGTTTTTAGCTCTTAACTTCCTTATTCTTTTTTTTTTTTCTTTTTTTTTTTTTTTTTTCCTTAGAGCTTCTTGCAGTGAAGAAGAAAAGGGGCAGGCCAAAAGGATCTACTAAGAAGTTATGTGTGGATGAAGATGTTGCAGAAAATAACTCTGTTCTGAACGAAGAAGCTCAACCTGGGACAGAAGAAGGACCAGAAGTGGCTGAAGTCTCACCAGGCAGCTTGGAATGTAGGAAATGTAATCGGAAGTTCTCTAACATGCGTCAGCTGAGGAAACATATCTGCATTATTGTTTTGAATGAAGGAGAAGAAGAAGGAGATGGAGGTAAGAGAATACCCATTAAAAAGATACAAAGCATATTGTGAAACAGTGTTTTTCCATCTTATAACCTGATTGTTTACTCCTAGTCATTAATATTGATGATCAGCAGAAGAGAAGGGACTGTTTCTTGTAATGTAAAAAGCATGTTGAAACAAAACTGAGAATAAAGTTAGACATTTCTTTTTTTTTTCTTCCAAAAAATACCAAAGACTTATTACATTAGTAGTCTTACACTCACTAAAATGCTTGTTTTACACAAGAAACTGTTTTGAGCAGAGGATTGCAGTTTTCTAATGGGAATTGATATAGTAACGTGGGTGGGTATTATGCATAGATGAAGAGGTATGATTCCATAGAAATGTTTCTGTCATTTCACTTGGGAAACCTGAATTCTGTTCTATTCTTGTGATAAACAAAAGGAATGCCTTTCAGGATGGCTTGCTATACTGTATAAAAAGTAATGCAAAGCTTCTATTTTACAAAAGTTTTTGTAGCATAGAATCATAGAATGGCTTAGGTTGGAGGGACCTTAACAGTCATCTGGTTCCAACTCTCCTGCTATGGACAGGGCTGCCATGCACTATATCAGGCTG